AGATGTCCTCCAGCTCTGCTTGCCTTTGTTGCTAGGAGTGCAATCATACGTGGTGGCTTTGTGGAGGCAGAATGAGCAGAAAGAGACAGATTCTAAGCTCTCAAAGCCTGTATTATTTCATCTGTATTATTATCACCGTCACCATCATCATCATCGTCATCATATGTTGATTCATGCTATACTTTGTAGTTATCTATAAACTTGTCTTATTTATACTATTAGACTTTAAATGTTCGCAGGTTAGGAATACAATCTGACCTTTATAAGGTTAATAGCCTAATCTATAGCAATTGTGCAGAAAATATTTGTTGAACAAAACATGAAAAAAAATGCATGCAGAGCCCCCAAAATATCTTCTTGGGAGGTTAATTGTGTTTCTACTCTGAACCTTCCATACTAGGAACTTAATTCCTAAAAAGGCTAGTGCAAACACTATTCAGCAAAACATTCTTGATGGTCACCAAAATAATGCTCAGGAAATTTTTAGGTTTTCTTGGTAAACACTCTGTCCTGATTTGGCTTTTTTTTTTTTTTTTTTTCCCAGCAAAGGCTTGTGCTTTTTTGAAGCTCATCAAATGCCCCTGCACATTTAACACATTCGACTAAGCCTAGCAAAGCTGCCTTTATTGTATATTTTGAGTCGTCAGCGGGTACATACGGTACATTTAGCAACGGTGCTTGGCTGAGTCACTAATCAACAAGAGTACTCTCCCGAGAAAAATGTGTTTTCAGTTACTGGGAATTTGCATTTTCTACTAATAGAGGCTCCATAACTGTAACAATTCAATAAATTATGCATGATGAAAAGTATTAGTTGCTTGTCGGTCATACTACTAAGTGTTTTCTTCCCTCTGTGAGAGAGCTAGAAAACCTGTGATTAATACGCTTTCAAAGCTGTAGATGAGGATCTTGTAATATAATGAACACTGAGGTTAATGAGAGTCAGATGGCTTAATCCAAAACACTGAAGTGGTTTAAGTCCTAAAACTTTACCAAACACATTTTCCTCCCAGAAATGATTAAAATACTAAGATTACAAAGCCTGTAAAAACTGGTCAATTCTTAACATTTTGTGTTCTTTTGTGTGTGAGGACAAAGGGCTGTTCAGAGGAGTTGGTTAAGATTAATGTGACAGCATAATGTGACAATCAGATTTTAGAATCAAATTTTATATTAGCCATGTATTTAGGTACTGCTTTTTCAAAGGGTTTCATGTGCAGGGTTTGCATTGAAAGAGGAAGAGGGCTAATATTTTTGCCTAACTAAAGACATGCAATGGAGAGAGGAGCATTCATTGCAGTTTGATTCTCAAACACGTTTGCTGCTTTCTCTCTCATACCAAAGGGCTCTCCCTCCCTCAACTCTGGCATCCTCCTTCTGATGTGTGGTCCAGACCAAAATCTGTGCCCATTTCCATTGGAAGTAATAAGCCAAGACCGTCGTTAACTCAGGAAGGGGCAAAGGGGATCAGGCAATTGGGATATAAGTAACCCACGTCTTTTTCTGAAAGTATCCCACTTCTTTTTCTGATTCTAGCATTTGTTTCTTGATGTGTTCTAGACCTCAGTATGGAGCTCTTTAAATAACTGTAATTAGTTTGGTTGAGAGACTTGGATTCCTGTTTTTCTTAGAATCATCACTACCAAGTATCAAGAAACTTGCTCCCTACCCAAGCCATGACTCCCACACACTTCTTTACAGACTTCTTATCCATATGCCTTCCTTTCTTTTCTTCATGTCCTCACTTGAGTTTTAGAGGTTTGTGGACAATTAATGCTTTGGTTTTTCTGAGAGCACAAAGCTGTAATTATATATTGAGTAGCATCTAATTGGCAAACTGGGTTCCAAATTTTCCAAAGGACATTTTTAGTTTATCTCCCTGTGAACAGGCAGTTCTTTAAAAAATAGAATCACAGTATTTTAGGCTCAGAGGGATCTTGAAATGTATTTAGTCCCACTTCCTCATTTTATCAGATAAGGAAAATGAGCAAAAGGGAACCATTAAGTGATTGCTGAAGAATCAGAGTTGGTGATTGGCCAGGTGATGGCTAAACCCAGCTATTCTAACTTCCAGTGCATTGTTTTTATTTGTTGTGCTTGCCAATAGACTACTATATCATTTTGTAATACTGTTGGAACCATAAGCTAATTTCAATTTAGTGTTGTAGAAGGCCCAAAGCTGAGCATAGATTTAAATATAAATTTTGAATGCACAGTGTACTTGAAAAAAAAATTAACTTTATGCCCTTAGGGGAGATTCCCCAGCCATGAAATAGGAGCTCAGCTGTCTTTATATTTAGCAGTAAAGGCACTTCAGGGATGAGGCAGGACACTTTAGATAGGAAACCAAACTGCCTGCTGTGTATGTTTGAGAGTGAAAAATTTGGAGAAATCTTACTATTGACAGAGTCAATAGCATTTACTCATTAAACATCATGGCTCCTTTAATAGATATTTTTGCCGTAAACTCTTTTACCAATGATGTATTTATTGATTTTTTTTCTTGATGACAGTTTCTTCTTTTTTTAAAAAAATTTATTGTTTCTTCCCTTTTTAAAGTTTGGGTTTGCAATACAAGTCACTTTCTTGATATTTGTTTGTTTGTGTTTCTGTTTTGCTCATTGAAGTCTTGCAAGCCTACGTGCCTCCTGTCTCTTGCAAGGCCACCCTGGCCTCCTGGAGGAACCTGTGGGAGCTCATCTCCTCCCTGATTCAGGTAGCCTAGGAGCCCTGACGTCATTCATCTCCAACCAGATCTTTTCCTGTCACCAAAAGGAATCTTCTCTTGGATGTCTAATCAACACTTGACATTTAAGTTCACAATTGAGCTTTCTTTTGTTCTCCTTCCCCAGGTAAGCACCCACTGCCTCATTTCTGTATAACTATCAACACAATTGCTACTTTTTCATTTCTCCCGCCTTACAAACGTGGAGCTGGTTGATTTCTCTTACTAATTCCCAAAAGCATTGCATCTCCAAGTCTTAGGAATAATTAATTTCCCATGTCTTTGAGATTGAGTCTTTCTTTTTTTAAATAATAGCACCTACAGTAATTCAGACCTTCTCCATCTCACTCATGTCTTCTCTAACAGTCTCCTAGCTGGAATAGCAAATTTCATTTTATTCCGACAAAATCTCCACATTTGCCAAAGTGATTTTGCCAATGTGTTTAAACAGAGAGAATTAATATTTATTGAGAAGCTATTATGCACCAAGCATAAATTATCTCAATTAATCTTAAACACCATCCTATGAAGTAGGTATCTTTCCTTCCTTCCTTCCTTCCCTCCCTCCTTCCTTCCTTCCTTCTTCCTCCCTTCTTCTTCCTTCCTTTCTTCCTTCTTCCTCCCTTCCTTCTTCCTTCCTTCCTTCTTTCTTCCTCCCTTCCTTCTTCCTCCCTTCCTTCTTCCTCCCTTCCTTCTTCCTCCCTTCCTTCTTCCTCCCTTCCTTCTTCCTCCCTTCCTTCCTTCCTTCCTCCCTCCCTTCCTTCCTCCTTTCCTCCCTTGCTTTCTTTTCTTTTCTTTTGTTTTCTTTCCTTCCTTCCTTCCTTCTTTCCTTCCTTTCTTCTTTCCTTCTTTCTTTTTGAGACAGGGTCTTGCTCTGTCATCCAGGATGGAGTGCAGTGGCACAGTCACGGCTCACTGCAGCCTCAACATCCTGGGTTCCAGCAATCCTCACACCTCAGCCTCCCTAGTAGTTGGGGCTACAGGTACACACCAAATGCTCAGCTAATTTTTAAATTTTTTTTTTGTAGTGATAGGATGTCACTGTATTACCCAGGCTAGTCTTGAGATCCTGGGCTCAAGCAATCTTCCCGCCTCAGCCTCCCAAAGTGCTGGGATTACTGGTGCGAGCCACTGCGCCTGGCCAGGTATTATTTTCTTATTGTTTGTATTAATAACAAATTTGTATTGAGCACTTTGAATTAGTTAGTTTTGTCGTTATTGTCGTTGCTGTTTTGAGACAGGCTCTTGCTGTTGCCTAGGCTGGAGTGCAGTGGCGCAAACATGGCCCATTGCAGCCTCAACCTCCTGGGCTCATGTGATCCTCTGCCTCAGCCCCTTGAGTAGCTGGAACTAGCAGTCTTTTCGTGTTGTCTAGGCCGGTCTTGAACTGCTAGGCTCAAGCAGTCTTCCTGCCTCGGCCTCCCAAAGTGCTGGGATTACAGGTGTAAACCATGGAGCCCAGTCAGTTTAATTCTTATAATAACCATATGGGTAGGTAACTATTATCAACTCCACTTACAAATGAGGTTGAAGCTTAAAGGAATGAACAACCTGCCCCCTACCACATAGCTCACAAGTGAGAGAGCCAGGAGTTGTACCCACACAGTCTGACTCCAGGGCCCCGGCTCAAAGCCACCCTACGGCTATTAAAACCCCAGTATTATAAATAGGGAGTCTGAGTCTCAAAGATCATTTCCGTCCTTTACCTTCCCCCTGAAACTTATTGTGTCACTTTTTTCTTTCCTCATAGCAGATAACCTTTTTTCTCAATTTCTACCTAACCTATCCCTTAAATGTTGGTATTCTTCAAGATTCTCTTCTTGGCCCTCTCGTCAGTTAACTCTAAATCACTGGCTCTTGACCTTTTTGGTCATGATCTCCTTTGGAGGATCTGATAAAATTTTGAAATTTTTCTCCAGAAAAAGGCACACACACACACATAAGTGCCATTCTGCTTCGGGGGCTCCAGGTCTCCTGGGACACCTAGGAACTCATGTTCTCACACATAAAAATAAGCTCTAGATGGATTAAAGCTCTAAAGGTAAAACAGAAAACAAAACAATAAGAACAAATTCTTTTGTCTCATGCACTCTTGGGCTGAAGAAGGCTTTTCTAAGTGTGTTATCAAATCCGGACACCAGAAAGAAAAAGGCAGACAGATTTGAGTTGACACCAATTTGTAAATTCCCTAATGTGTTTTTCCCAGCACCAAAACTCAAAGAGAACGATGTTTGCAAAGTAGAAAACCCCTGTGTAATGTGAACCATCCTCTCACCTCCAGTGACAATCACATTTGCTTTAACACAGTAGCAAAAAGTGTTCGCTCCTCTTGGCATGGAAAACTCTCGGACGGGCCTGGAAAACACAAATTAGATGTAAAACGTATATATTTTTCTTTTTTTCTTTTCTTTTCTTTTTTTTTTTCTGAGACAGAGTCTCACTCTATCACCCAGGCTGGAGTGCAGTGGCGTGATCTCGGCTCACTGCAAGCTCCGCCTCCTGGGTTCACGCCATTCCCCTGCCTCAGCCTCCTGAATAGCTGGGACTACAGGCACCGCCACCACGCCCGGCTAATTTTTTGTATTTTTAGTAGAGACGGAGTTTCACCATGTTAGCCAGGATGGTCTTGATCTCCTGACCTCATGATCCGCCCCTCTCGGCCTCCCAAAGTGCTGGGATTACAGGCGTGAACCACTGCACGCAGCCTATATTTTTCTTTATCAAGTTAATTATGTGTTATACATTGATTATGTTTAATAGGCTCATTTCTAAGTTGGTTGTAAATCCATTTGCCCACAGGCAATATTATAAGTAATGATTAAGTCGTGATTAACAGTAAGAATGTACTTATTCCATTAATTGGTGATATTTGCGTAGTACTTTGTATTGTTCCTGTTTAAAAGAAAATCCAGCCCTCCATGCTGGGTTTGTGGTTTTGCTTGTGGTGAGGATGGGTCAACCTATATAAGGTCTTAATCCAGAAAGGATATTGGGTGGCTAAGTGAGTCTGTTGGGTAGCACATAATGCCAGGAACCCTTTTGGACACTTCTGCCTTGCTCACCAGCCACATCCAATCTGCTGTCAAGTCTTGTTAATTTTCCTCTGCAATATACCTGAAATCTGACCACTTCTTCCCACTCCTACTGCAACATGTTGGTTCAACTCTCCATCCTCTCTCACCAGAACTACTGCAATAAACTGGTAATTTCTTTGCTTCTACTATTTTTATTTATTTATTTATTTATTTATTTATTTATTTATTTATTTTGAGACAAGGTCTCGTTTTGTCACCCAGGCTGGAGTGTAGTGGCACAATCTTGGCTCACTGTAACCTCTGTCTCCCAGGCTCAAGCAATTTTCCTGCCTCAGCCTCCTGAGTAGCTGGGATCACAGGCGTGTGCCACCACACCCGGGTAATCTTTGTATTTTTAGTAGAGATAGTGTTTAACCATGTTGGACAGGCTGGTCTCAAACTCCTGACCTCAGGTGATCCACCTGCTTCGACCTCCCAAAGTGCTAGGATTACAGGCATGAGCCACCGCGCCCAGCCTGCTTCCACTATTGCCCGTTCTTCTTTCCTCATTCCCAACCCAAATCTCATTGTCATGTTGCAGACAGAGTGACCCTTGTAAAATATAAATTAGATCACATCACTTCTCTCCAGTGGCTCCCTGGTGCTCTAAGAAGACTTCGTTTCTTTTACTTGGCTGGCCTGGCCCTGAGTGATCCCTATCACCCTTCCAGGCTCACCCCATGCCCTCCTCTTCCCCCTGTGCTGGATTCTAATCCAGCTATACTGGTCTCTCTTATCAGCCTCCCTTCTGGACATACTGAGCTCTTTCTCTCCTCAAGAGCTTTTGCACAGGCCAAAGATGTTCATCTCCCAGACTCCAGCCTCACTAACAACCATCCTCCTTTGGGCGTCAGCTTAAATGTAACTTTCTTAGGCCTCTCCTGGACATCACTGCCACCCACCTCTACCAATGAAACTCTGTCTTTTGTCTTATTCTCCCTTAAAGCATGTAGCATCTACCGTATAATATTCATATGTATGTTTGGGGTGTTAGTATCTGTGAGTGGTATTGTGCCATGGTTAAAAAAGCTCAAGTTTGAGTGACAATGTGTGGGCTTCCATCCTGGCTCCATCACCGTGCTTCAGTTTCCTCACTTAGTGGATGGGACAATGGACAATAATAATACCGACCTCAGAGACTAGCAACAGCTGAAAGCTGTTACTTCCATTGATCAGATAGTGTAACAAGAGGAAACAGGGTTATTGGAATAGAGGGGCCACCCAGAAGGACCCTAGACAAGATGCCTAGACAAGGAGGTCTGGGAGGAGGCACTTGCAGATCTGAGACACACAAGCAGGGAAGGTGCAGAGAAGAAGAAACCTGGCTTTCTTGCTGTATATGCATGTGTTTTTCTTTTTTTTTAAAAAAATACAAAGGGTAGCATATACCATTCTGTTCATTGCTTTTTCACTGAATAATGTATGTTGAAGAGCTGTCTAAATCATATTTTTAAAATGTTCTCTTTTTTTTTATTGCCACCAGATACTCCTTTGTATCACTAAATTAGCACTTATTTAATGTCTGAGGGGAACCCGCCTGTCTCAAATTTCTTGTGATTACAAATAATATTGTAATAAACAGTCACTTGTGAAAGGGCCATTTTTGTATATATATATGTATAAGATGAATTTCTAGAAATAGTATTGCAAGTCAAAATGTATGTGTATTTATAATATTGAAAGATACTGCAGTTCCTTTTTAATTCCCTTTACCCATTGGACTATACTTTTAAAAATGTATCTCTTTACAAAAACTGGGTCTCACAAAGCCTAATTTTCCTTCTTTTTTAAGCAGAGACAGAGTCTTACTCTGTTGCCCAGGCTGGAGTGCAATGGCATGATCATAGCTCACTGCAGCCTCAAATTCTTGGGTTCAAGCGATCCTCCTGCCTCAGACGCCCAAGTAGCTGGAACCATAGGTATGAGCCACTGCACCTGGCCAAAGCCTAGCTTTAATGTAGTTTATATTTTGGAGTCATGTTTGAGATATCGAACCTAAGGGGTAATAACCAGAAATATCTTGCATTGCAATTATCACCCCAGACCTCAGGCAAGAATGAATTCTTGCCACAGCTGCCCAACTATTGAACTTTCATATTTCTCAATATGAAACAAATGGATGCAAATTAAACAAAAGCCCGTAGAGTGTTCAGAGCACAGTCACAAAATCAATGAGACAGCATGGAAATAAAGTCTGAATTGCAAACTTCAGGAGGATGCAGATTTATAATTTAGCTGAAACATATCTTATTAGTTTAAGGTCAGAAAAAGATGTAAAAAAAAGAGTTTGCTCAACTAAATTTGAGCATCACAAACGAGAGATCCATACTCAGCAGTTCAGGCATTTATCTGAGTCTCTACTGGATACCATGGGTCATATGTAGCTTTTCCAATTAAATTACTTTATTCTTCCTTAAGCCTAAAGTAAGTAGTTATCCTTAGACCTGTATATACAACTTCATCAACATCTTAACTTTACCTAGGTCAGAATGCTCAAGATCTTAGCGTAGTCGTTCCAAAATCTGGTTGTGCATCAGAATCACTTTGGATATTAAAAAAGAAATTCCTAGACTGGGTGCAGTGGCTCACGTCTGTCATCCAAATACTTTGGGAGGCCGAGGTAGGAGGATTGCTTGAACCCAGAAATTCCAGACGAGCCTGGGCAAATAGTGAAACCCCATTCTTACAAAAAAAAAAAAAAAATCATGGACCTCAGCCCTAACTTGATAAATCAGACTCTCCAAGGGTGAAGTCATAAATGTCTTTTAAAATTTTTCTTAAAGGCTGGGTGCAGTGGCTCATGCCTGTAATTCCAGCACTTTGGGAGGCCAAGATGGGTGCATCATGTGAAGTCAGGAGTTCGAGACCAGTCTGGCCAACATGGTGAAACCCTGTCTCTACTAAGAATACAAAAATTAGCCAGGCGTGGTGGTGCACACCTGTAATCGCAGCTAATCAGAAGGCTGAGACAGGATATACTGGACCCTTGAAGGGGAGGTTCCAGTGAGCCAAAACTGTGCCACTGTACTCTGGCCTGGGGAAGTCTGTCTCAAAAAAATAAAAAATTCTTACAATTGTTTTTCATGCACAGCACTGACATTTACTTGCAAATTATGTACATATATTACTGAATTAAAATTGTATAACATCATGAAACAGACAACAATAAAATAATGAGATAATAATTTAAATGAAAGAAAACTTCTAGAGTTTTCTACCCCCATTGTGATGGATCATCTTGCATACCCCCTGGAGTATATTCGCCCTGCTTTGCAGACCTCACAGGACATGGGCTGGCTCCTGACACAGTTTGAAGAAAGAACGAGCACTCTTTGGCTCTTCTTATGGGAGCCCCAGTAAAAGGAAGAGGTGGGATGGGCAGACTTCTGTAGGACTCTGCCATAAAGTGGGTGGAGCAGGACAGGGCCGACTGGTAAAGTCGACTTAGAATGTACTGTGGACGTGAGGTCAGGAGACCTAGATTCTGGCTGTGTTCTGTTGCTAAATATATGACTTTAGAAAAGTCACTTAATCTTGCTGAGCTACAGTGTTCCCACTTATGAAACCAAGGATTGACTATGACCTAAATAGTTTCTTCCATTCTTAAAATCTTAGATTTTGTCCTTCCCCTATAGCTTCAGCTGGGGCAGGGGTCAAGCAGGGCAACTGCACAGGCTTTGTGGATGGCATTCCAGAGCTGTAGGGGGCACAGCCTGCACAGCCAATCGCAGTGGTCCCTGGTTGGGGTAGACGTACATGAATAAGGATTCTCATAATTCATCATACTTTCTGAGCAGCAATGCACCTAGATGTGGAGGAAGAAGCAAAATCAGAACAGGCTGGTGGGTGGTGAGAGATCTTGATTTGGGGATTCTTTGCAGGTTGCTGGCTATAAAATTTTATATTGGGAAGGCTTAGGCTTGTAAGATATTTGAAAAGTTCTGCTGTGTCTAAGATTGCAAAAAAATTAGTTTCTCATATCAAAGAATGTCTAGGGCTCGTTAGGGAGTTAAGAAGAGAGGACAGTTGACTCCAAGTGCACTCCAAAAGGGAAATACTCAAGGTAGGAAAGTTGCCAGGGGCAGTGAGGCCTATGAAGGAAGTAGAGTTTAGGGCCTACTCAGTGGGTCCTCAGTCAGTGAGTCAACGACATTTATGAGTGCCAGCTGTACGCCCAACACTGCCCTAGGGGATAGATACATCAGTGAACTACAAGAACAGAAGTGAGAGTGTCCATTGGTTGAGGGTCACAAACTCAAAGTCTGCAGCGGCCAGGCAGGT